GTTCTTTTTTAGTTTTCTTATCACCCTTTGCATTTACCACATATTCACCCATTGTAGCCATTTTTTCCTGTGCATTCTTTAACCTACTTGTAATAATTATTTTAAAGACTTTGCTAATTCCAACATCTGGATCATCCATGGGCCTCCTTCTGCTGGCTCCTTTTTCTCTTGATTATGCATCACATTTTCTTATTTCTTTGTCTATTTTCATTGTGTACTGGACATGGTAGTTTACACGCTGTAGAGGCTGTGGGTTCAGTCTATCAGACAGTTAAATTACTGTGGCATATCTAGATCCTGTGAATGTTTGTTTTAGCTTTATTTGGGTGAATATATTTCATTTTTGCCCTTAGACTGTGGCTCTTAGTCCTGCAACATGATCCTGACATGTGAGGTGTGGCCCATGTGGGGTTCCAATGGAGAGTGTAAGCTCCTCTAACTCGGCAGGACTTGAATTCCACTTTTCTTCCCAGCACTGAGAAATCTACGCTCAATTCTTTAACTTTCCAGCTTCCCTTCATATTGCTTCGAATCTTGCCTGCCTTGCACATGCGCAATTTAGGAATTACCTAATTTGAGGGAAGTGGGTACACAGATTTTAGGGATACCTCTCGTGTGTCTCTCCTTTTCTGTTTTTTTTAGGATTTTTTTCCCCTACATTTCTATATGCTCAGCCCTGAATGCTGACTTCTAACTCTGTACTTTCTGCTTAGGCTCCGCCCCTCGTGCAAGTTAACTGGGAAGTGCCTTCAGCGAAAAGGCGGGTTAAATGGAAATTCACCTAACGTGCTTCTCTCCTCTCAAGGCTCAGATCATGCAGTCTCCACTATCTCAGAATCCCCCAGCATAAGGCAAGGCACATCAAGTATGCTGCTCACAGACTTTTTGAAGTGAATTGAGGTTCTTCTTGCTGCCGTGAGGCATGTGCTGCTTGTCTCGTTGTTGGGTATTCTTCACACGTAGATGAGATGGACCCAGTTCTGACAAGAACCACTGGTTCTTCTCATCTTGTGAATACTACTGAGCCGCAGGGATGTGGCGTCGAATAAATCAGGGGATGTGGAATCCTGTTGTGTCTCCAAGGCCCTGCCGATGACTCATCCCTGGGCGGATGGGAGCCACGGTGATCGCTCCCGTGCTCTGCAGAGGGCTCCACTGTGGAATCACAGGGCAGGGAGACAGACTGCACGCAAGGTTCGTGGAGTTGACAGTGTTCCGGCGGGACTGGTCACCCCCAGAGACGGGAAACAGACTCATCCTCAGCAAATCCCCATAGTCTGGTTAGACAGATCCTACTCACAGCAACCACCAAAATGAGTGGTTTCCACAAAAAGGATTATTCCTTCCAGGAAGACCTCCCCATTCTGGTTTGGAGGGTAGGACCCTGGGGTCTTTTATGGGAATACAAAGAGATGAAGGGTCCCAGTGCCCTTGGTGACCAAGGGAAGCAAATACCAACAGCAGCTGGCATATGTACAGCACTCACCACGAGCCAGGGCACCACTGTGCACACTTCATGTAAACATTAACTTAATTCCACAGCTGTGCGAGGCTGATTGCACGGATTATGACAAATGTTAGAAACCCCGATTTCTCAGTGGCTCGACACGGTCAAGTTCTTTGCTCACTCATATCACTATCCAATGCCCATATTCCTGGCTTGGTTTCTCTCTCCCAGTGGTGTCAGGGACCTGGGCATGTCCATCCTGTGGCCCCGTCATTTCCTGTATGTGGCTCCCAAGGTTGCCCTAGGGGCCGTCTCCATTCTGGCCAACCAGAGGGGGGAAGAGGATGGAGATTCACCTGTGGGGGGCCACTGATGGGCTGGCAAGACATGGCACCTGTCATTTCCGTGGCACCCACATTCCCGTGGCCAGAAATCAGTCACGTGGCCACATCTACCTGCAAGGGAAGTGTGAAAAGCTAGCGTGCCGTCTGACCTGGGGTCAGGTAATGATGATGATGATGTTTTGGTGAACGTATAACAGTCATTGCCGCACAGGTACTACAGTGTGTCCACTTCACAGGTAGGGTCATCGACAGGAAGGTTAGGAAGTTGTCCGAGGTCACACACACGCCAAAATGATCGTAGAGCTGGGATTTAAACCCCGGTCACCAGTCTCCGGAGTCCACATTCTCACCCGTGTACGTTACGTCCTGCCTCTGATCGTGTGCATGGCTAGGAAGATGCGACGGGCTGTCTCGGTGATAAAGCAAGAGGCCTAGCACGCGGCTGAGCGAATGAGCGCGTGGAGGACACTGTGAGCAGGAAGGACTTCTGGTCTTCGAGTCAGACTCTAGATGCACCTTTCTTAGGCAAAATAACATGTCAAAATCAGCTGTTCAGGTGGAATTTCACCGTGAGCCAGGTTGCGAGGACGTTTTAAAGACCTTCGTCGCGGCATATTATTGAGAGCAGAGTCACATCTGCCTTTGCAAATGGGCCACAGGCAAGCACTGGGTGAATCCGCTTCCAGTACTTCAGCGCTTAATAGCGGACTGATTTCCCTGAGCCCGTGCCCTCACCCGCAGGATGACGACATGCTGTGAGGATCACGTGACGTAGAGCGTGTAAAGGGAGTGGAAGAACGTGAGGTAGTCACGATAGGTAGTCACTGCTCTCCAGTCTGGAAAGTCACCACCTTGGGGACTTCAGCGAGGTCTCGGAGCACTCGAAGCTCATAGCCCTGCTCAGAGTTACCGATACGTTCCTTCCAAAGTCCAGTGATCTGCACTTTCAAACGGGAAGATGTTTGAAGACCTGGAGAAAAGGGGGCCACACCTGGGCGTCAGAGCGGAGGGTCAGCCATCTCGAGGACACCAGGCGCCACCTGCAGTGCCTCGTGATATGGCCGCTGCTGGCCTGTGGCCTGGGTTAGCTGCTCAGGACTCCTTTCGGGAGACCAGTGAGCACGGTTCGGTCCGGCGCAGGCGCCAAAGGGAACACGGCAGCCGACGCGCCTAGAAAGTCTGAGGGCTGGAGTCTCGGCTCACAGGGCTTCACCGGACCCTGGTGCCTCCGTCGTTCAGTGGTGCTCAATGTCACGGTGGTAAGACGGGCGATGTGAGGAGGTGAGGCTCAGGCTTGCGTTCTCTGGGGCACGAGGGGGTGCAGGGATCGCTTCCACCTGCCAACCCTGGCGTCTCATCGGCCGCTCCCCAGCCTGTCTGCTGGGCTCTGTCCGTCACCCAGACTGAGAACAGGGAGGAGATGGTTCTGCACAGACGGTTCAGGCTCGCCTTTCCCAGGAGAGGGTGAATAAATGCTGAGTTAAAAAAGAGAAAAGTGCAGCTGTGCATCCTGGTAGCTGACGGCTTCTCCCACGGCGTTTCTGGTTTGCTCGCGACGCTCCGCGTCCTCCCGTCCCTCGCTGGAGGCCTTCTCGGTGACGGCCCACCTGCCAAGGCCGTGCCCTGAAAACGCCTCTTCCCCTCTGTCCCCTCCCAGGCCCTCCAGCCCCCCCACAAGATGTCACTGTCCAAGCAGGGGCCACCCCGGCCACCGTCCAGGTCTCCTGGAAGCCGCCTGCTCTGACTCCCACCGGCTTGTCCAACGGAGCCAGTGTCACCGGGTACGGCGTGTACGCAAACGGGCAGAGGGTGAGTCTCGGAGGGGGCGGGGCTGGGGGTCGCCAGGCTCGGACACAGCAGAGACCGGCCCCAGGTGTGCTCGGGGGAGGAGGGACGACCCCCTCGCAGGGGTGATCGCTGGAGCATCCGCATCTCCTTCCCCAGCGATTATCCGGCCCCACGCCCGGCCCGGCCAGGACACACCAGGACACCTCTGCCCCACCGTCTCTGGCCCCTTCCTGTTTCCAGAATTTTCTCAGTCTCCCTCCCTTCACTGATTTCCTGCCCGGCTCCTGGCTTGTGTTTGTTTGGTTCGGTTTTCCTCCACCCAGTGTTTAAAAATTCACCTCTCTGAGTCCCCTGATACCAGAGCCGCCTCCACCAGTGACTGGCTCACTCACCGCAACCAGCTGATTCCTGGCCACATGTTACTGATGGCTGGCGGTGGGTCCCTCCTGGGAAACACTGCAGGGTTTGCACAGGCGACTGGGCCTTGACACCGAGAAACGGGTGTCCCCGGTGCTCCGTGGAGGGGACCCACACCGGCCCCAACCCCTGCCTGGCAAGAAGCAGAAGCGTCCGCCTCTGGGGAAGACTTGGGAAAGCTTCCCGCCTCCCGTCCCCACCGGCCCCTGGGGAGCAGGGATGGCCGGGGACAGCGGCAGGGCCCTGAGCCGTCTCTGGCTGCCCAGCTGCCTCCTGCGGCCCCTGGCTCTTCCCTCTGCGCCCCTGGGCAGGCCGTCCTCTGCAGGAGAGGCCGGAGCCCCTGGAGTCCCTGTCGGCCTCTGCCCAGCCGCTTCCTTCCCAGTGGCAGCATAAACCCCGTTTCCAGACCCCTCTGTGGCCCCTGCCTCTTCTGAGTGGGTCCAGAAGATGGGAGGGGAACGGGCCTGCGGAACCGGCTACACCAAAACCCGACAGCCGGTCAGGTCCCCTGTCCCACCCCCGACTTCCCGGGCTTGCCTCGCTGCCCCGCTGCGCCGGGGTGTGGGTGGCTCAATCCTAGGCCCCAGGGCCTGGCTGGGGGCCGGTGGGCGCACCCAGCATGGCGCTCTCTGTGCAGGTGGCCGAAGTCATCTTCCCCACGGCGGACAGCGCGGCGGTGGAGCTCGTGCGGCTGCGGAGCCTGGAGGCCAAGGGCGTGACCGTGCGCACCTTCTCCGCGCAGGGCGAGTCGGCGGACTCCGGCGTCGCTGCCATTCCCCCCGGCCTCCTGGTGTCCCCACCCCCCCACCCGAGGACTGCTCCCGCACCGAAGCCGCTAGCCAGTGCCGGAGCCCCCGATACCAAAGATGAACACCTGGGCCCCCACGCCAGGGTGGACGAGTCCTGGGAGCACGGCCGCGCGCCCGCCCCTGCGCACGGGCACACGCTGGAGCCGCCGGGGCTGCCCGGCTCGGGGAGGAGGTCGCCCTCTCCCAGCCGGATCCTGCCGCAGCCGCAGGGCGCCCCGGTGTCCACCTCTGTCGCCAAGGCCATGGCCCGGGAAGCCGCGCAGAGAGTGGCCGAGAGCAGCAGGGTAAGCTGGGTCGCCCCCCTCGGTGGCCGCTCTGCTCCGGAGCGCGTCCTGTCCCCGAGCCCCGCGGGGCGGCCACCCCCCAACACCGGAGCCTGCGCAGGAGACGGGCCCCTCCGAACACGCAGCCAGACCGCCCTGCGGGCTTGGGGGGCAGAGGCCGAGCCCAGCCCTGGACCTTCCCCTTTCGCGTGTCTTGTTCCTGGTCCTGCGTGGACTAAATTGTTTTCATTTGCAAATGTTTAGCCAGATAGCTAAGGAAATGCCAGGGCGTGCCTGGCTTGGACGATGGGCTGACACACACCCATGACAGCGGCTTTGGTCTGTGCCGTGGGATCCGAGAGTCGCCCGCTGGACGCCAGCCAGGGGCCCAACTTCCCCACCTGGGCACTCCCGGTTTCGCTCAGTTCAGAGTCCTGGCAGGCGTGCGTGTACAGACACACATGTATACGTATGTAGATACACATGTCTGTACACAGAGGCACATATTCCTACATGTAGAGGTGCGCACAGATACATACATATGTATGTGCATATTTGCATGCCTGTTACTAGAAGTTTTCTGAGTCGAGCAGAGGGAGTATTTGGATCGTGGTAGGGCCACGTTCGTCCTGACCTGTGCAATGAGACGTGAATTTTTAAGAAATCTTCTATAAAGTGACGCCTCCCCCCAGGACTCGGGGAGTAGGATCTGGACCAGAGCCAGACCGTGTGTCCCTGCCTGCCTGGGACAAGCCCCCACCTCTCTCGTTGCGGGGAGCCCGCGTCCCCACCTCGGAGGCAGCGGCGCGGCCCCGGTCAGGGCCCTCAGCACCCTGGTCAGCCTGTCGGGTCTCGGGATGGCGACCCCTGGAGAAGATTGTGCCGGTGCCGGGACACTTTCCTCCCAGCAGTCCCCGCTGGGCACACCCCCAGGGGACAGCTGAGCAGTGCAGGTGGCCTCTGGGAGGATGGAGGGAGAACAGCGGCTGAAAAGGGGCTTCCATCGCTCCCAGCCCTGGCCCCGGGAGCACCTGCCCAGGCAGTGCCCCAGCGCCTCCTGAAAAACCAGAACTTCGGACTTTTCTGTGATGTCTCCTAATTTGTTTGACGTGGTCACTAATACTTGAGAGAGAGAGAGAGAGAGAGAGAGAGAGAGAGAGAGAGAGACACACACACACACACGTGAATTTGTGACCTTTGACGAAAGGGACTCCTTCAGAATGTGCAGATCCGTCCCGGCTCTGATCGGCTCACTGGCGGGAGCCCCGGGCCTCGGCCTCGGGAGTTGGTGCTTTTTGGGGGGCCCCAGGCAGGGAGGGGGTGGCGGACGTGCTGCCCCTCTGCCTTTCGGGTGTGGCCATCTCTCCTCCCGGACAGGCCGTAGTGCTCTCCCCAGAGGACTGCAGAGAAAGCAGATACTTCTGAGTTTCTGGAAAACATTAATTGATAAAAGTAAAAGCCAGGCAAAGGTGACCAGTGGGGGGCGGTGAGATTGTCATCTGTATCCGTGCATTACCTGAAGCACAGGTCAGCATGACGCTGGTTAGCGCGGGCCACCCGGCGTCTGCGTGCTGGGACAACGCGGGAAACCCGCGCCCTGGGGCAGGGAGCGGGCGCGTGGCCGGGCTGGAGGAGCCGTGCCCGGCAGCGGGTCCCAGCATGACTGGGGGGCTCTGGCGGCTCCTCCGGCCCCTCCCGAGAGCTCCCGCTCAGCCCTGCGTCTCCTTTCTCTTCCCAAGTTAGAGAAAAGGAGCATGTTCCTAGAAAGGAGCGGCGTGGGGCAGCACGCCCCCTCGGACGAGGAGGACGGCGACGACCCCCCTGACGTCAGAAGGCGAGGGGCGTCTGTGGACGACTTCCTGAGAGGGTCTGAACTCGGCAAGCCGGTGAGTGCCGGTCGGCCCGGGCCGCCAGCTCCCGGCGGGCAGCGGCTTGGGACAGGCTCCTGGGAAATCGGGAGACACAGGGGCCCTCTCCCGCCACCTGGGTGCACGAGAGAGGCGGAGACGCGTCCGCCTGGGTCATGACGGTCCTACTAGATTTTTGAAGTTTAGGCTTAGCAGTGTCTGTCTGTGCACATCACCTCGCTTGGGGACGACTGCAAAAGTCTAAGTGTGAGGCTTCCACCTCCCCCGCTCCTCCCTGCCGGCGTCGGGTCACGGGGCCCGTCTCCTGGGTCAGGTCGCGGTGGCCTACAGGTACCACCTGTTCTCCGTTTAGGCAAAGCCTACCATTTGCGTATTCACTTCCGTTAATTGGCCAGATGTTTTGTGGACATCTGCTCTGTGCCAGGCATCACGGGGGGATTCAGAATCAAACCGTCGGCATCCTGCCCTCAAAGCAGCAAAACGTCTGAGCTAGATCACGAACGACACGTTCAGCGGATCTGGGGTTATCTGATCTTGCGCGTTCTAATGGAATTGCTCCCGAATGGCGTGAAGAACTGAAATCGGACGGCAGGAGGGGTCGGAATAGCCAAGGGCCTGGAAAGTTCTAAAACCTTAGGACGTCGGATCACCCGGTTCGGTCCGTACCTGCTTCTACGGCAGGGCAGCCTGACAACCTGACAAGAGGGGGCCTCGGGGGTCCCACAGACCTGGACTCACCTCCTGGCTCTGCCCCCGCTGGTCACAGCATCATGTGTCGGAAGCCACCTCCAGAGATGGGGGTCTTCCTCTGTGAGATGAAAGTCATCCCATTTGCATTAATTTTAGCACAAGAAACAGAATGCCCAACTAATCGTGACTGAGATAACAGAGAGATTTCATCACCCCACGTCACAGGAAGCCGTCCTGAGCACCCCGCCCTGCCAGACCCCGTTCCTGGCTTTATCTCGTTAGCTCAGCGAGCCCGGACTCCTTGTGGGCAGAAGCCTCGGCTTTCAGCGGACCACCGTGTCTCTCGCGTGTCACAGATAGGAGTTGCTCAGTATTTGCTGAATTAATGACTGAAGGAAGCGGGGAGGCAGAGGCTAGCTGTCACCTTAATTCTCCGAAAACTTCAGATTCCCACTCAAATTAATCAGCTCGTCCATCGTCACCCACGCAGAACATCAGATCCCAGAACTTGTTTCTCTTGTCACTAAAAGTCTGTACCCTCGTTAAATCTAAGTCAAGGAAAGAGGCTTTTCAGTGGGGAGTTTAATTTGGGATTTTTGTTTCGGCCAGGGAAAGGGGGGTTGCTGGGCGACAGGACCGAAGTTTGTCGTAGTGACGTTTAAAATCCTGTCTCGTGGGAGGAGCTCTGCCTCAGCTTCCTCATAAGTGAACTGGATCAGCACAAGCGTCCTGCCGGCTGCTAGCTCGGTGCGTCTGCTCAGCTGCCTCCCCCGTCCCGGGAAAGCGTGTCCACCTGCCGCTATTCTCCACCGAGGACTCAAGGGCAAGGCTGTGTGTTCCCCAAGGGAAAAGCACACTCGAGGTGGCGTTTCCCAGGCAGAGGCAGTGGGATTGCTTGGGCTCGGGGTCTGGCAGACCTGGCCCCTGGCGCCTCTCACCAGGGGGTCACCTCGAGCAGGTCACTGGACATCACCTGTGCAGCACTCTTCCGAGGGGAGGACTGACCTCGCGTATGGGGCAGACGCTACACTCCTCCTTCCATCCCATGAGTTTATCCCCACGTCATCCCTGGGCTTGAGTAAGATGAGACCGTGTTCTCATGTCCTCCCTGGACGCCTTGGGAAAACCGCACTAAAACCAGTCTGATCTTTGTTTAAAATCCGTTCGCTTTCCTGTCGCCCGCTGGGTGAAACGGTCAGGGCTGGAGCGGCTCAGATGCTGGGCTGCAGACTGCGCCGCCGAGACGGCTCCTGTGCGCCCTCTTGCGGGCACAGCGCGGATAACACTCTGCCTGCCGCGCTCACGCGCGCTCCTCCTGGGCGGGCCACCGCTCCCTGGGACTCGCAGCACGTAAGCATCTTTGTCTCGGTTAGTCATCGAAACCTGGGTATTTTTAGTAAACATGTCGCAGAATGCTATTAAACCCGTTCGTCTGGCTGCCCACGAGCAAAATAAAGGAGCTGTTCTCAGTCAACACCATGCAGCAAACCAGACTATCTTTACGATGTATCACGCTCGCAAATTCGAGCTCGTCAGAGTGTGCGGTTTGAGTTGTTGGAACTTATTTTGCTTTAAACACGCGAGTCATCGAGCGACGGAGCGTGTCATTTGCAAGCGAGACAGCTGCTGAGCTGGAGTGGCACCGGCATCGCGAGTCTGCCGGGGCGGCCGGGGTCTCAGAGTTGGCGTGTTCACGAGCATCCTCTTAATCCTCAAACCTTTTACGCAGCCCCAGCCTCCTCTCCGTGTCCCTTCCTTCCTCTGGTGTTGGGGACCACACAGCCTGCACGGGGGCTTCCGCCTCCTGCCCCGGCCAGGCTGGCACTCGCGAGCGCCTGGCGCTCTCTGAAATCTCGTGCCTTTCGTGGCGCCCCGCGCCGCCGTACCGCCCCAGCCCCCCGTGTTCACGTGCCGCGTCCGCTCCCTACTGTCACCGGAGTCGTAGCTTCCGGCGTGACCCTTTGTCCAGCCAGTGAGTAGGAGAAGCTGAGGGTGCCCAGAAACGCTTTGCCCGTGAGTCTCACAGGCCCCAGCGGGCGTTCTGTCTGCTGGAGCTGGGAGGCCTGCCTCGGGCCCATCTCTGCCATCCCAGCTCGCGGCGTGGCTCGGATGGGGATGTCCGCCGTCCTGGCTTTCCTCACCCTAAGCTGCGCGGCACACACCCAGACACCCAGGCACCTGTCCGTGTCTCTAGGTGTTGGGTTCCGAGAGCTGCCAAGAGGGGATGGGGCCGACCAAGGACCCCTCTGGGGAGCCCAGGATGCCGGAGGAGCCACGCGTGCCGAGATGCCATTCCATCAGTGTCCCCTCTTCTCGGCCCTCAGCCCCACTGTTGCCATGGAGACGAGTACCACACTGAGAGCAGCCGGGGGTCTGACCTCTCCGACATCATGGAGGAAGACGAGGAGGAGCTCTACTCCGAGATGCAGCTGGAAGAGGGGGGGCGGAGGCGGCCCAGCGGCACATCCCACAACGCCCTCAAGGTCAGTGGCCGAGGGGGGGCACGGGGGGGCCTCGCCTTGCATAGAAGCCCCTGGATTTGGATTCGCTTCTTTCTCACCATTGGATCTCACCAGCATTCGGGAATTAGCTGTGCCCCCCAGTTTGGGGGGAATCCACGTGGCGCCTTCTGGGGGCCCCGGCGCTGTGCCAGGGTTGAAGTGGGAGGAGTAGGGGGCGATTGCACCCCAGCCTTGGGTCTCACCCTGGAGGGAGGCGGCGTCTGAGTCGGAACCGGGACAGGGAGAGCGTGGGGGCGGGGGCTGCGTAGGATTCCCCAAGAGGAAGGGGTTGAGGCGGCCCTGCCCGGCACGGCGAGGTCAGAGGAGGGCTGGGTGGGTCGTCCCAGGGGCCAATCACATGAGCCCCTCACGGGCAGGCGGGTCCGATGCCCTGCTCAGACCACCTCCCGCCAGGCCCTAGCACCCGCTACCTGCCACCCCGGGAGGCTACCTTCATGCATACTGAGCTCGAGGCCACCCTAAGCCGGGGCTGGGGTTTCCCTTGACGTGGCGACCCTCTTTCCTTGCTGCTGCTGCTGATGGGCAGTGTTCCAGCTCGCGCCTTTGCGTGCTCCACGGAGCCACGGGGCTGACCACCTCTGGGCACCGGGCCCCGCGCTAGGCCGAGGGCAGCCCCGCCCTCCAGCGGTTCCCAGTCCGGGGGCGGGGGGATGGACGCAGGGCCAGGCCACTAGCAGGACCTTTGTAGGTTTCCAAAATGAAAAAGGCCTTGGAGAGGAAACTCCTGCCGGGGGCGGAGCCTCCAGCGCCGCGTTTGGCGACACAGAGCTGAGCACTCTGACCGGTGGGCAGGGGCACATCCAAATCTGGCCCGCCCACCCGGCGCCTCCTTGCATAGACAGACTGACCTATGTTCTCCCAGCAAAGGTCGCTGGCAGGGCCTTGGGGATGCCCTGTCACCAAAGAACATGCCAGATCCCTATGCAAATCTTGCATGGTTGCAGCTTGTGTGCAATTCCCGGTGACTCCCCTCCCCCCACCCCAGCTCCCAGGGTGACACCATTGAGCAGGATTCACACTGGCCTCTCCTGAGTGGTCAAGCCGAACCCCCCCGAGTCCCCACGCTGTGCCCCAGAACCAAGCGCTACCTGGAAGTGCTCGTGAGTCGGGCCAGGTTAAGGGTGTACCTGTCCTTCTGACTTGCTGCGATGCTTCTCCTTTTGATGGAGGAAGATCTGGGGGTGGTACTTCTCGAGAACAGTCGAGCAAGGAAATGAAAAGTCACCGTCTCTCCTTGGGAGGAGGCCCAGGGGGCAAGCTTATTGGTTATAGGGCCACAGGGCCGAGCCCCACCCCCTCAGGCAGAGCCCCCACTTCACCTCTTAGGAACAGCAGCGCAGGGTCACAGGGGCAGGAGGGTGGCAGGGACGGCAGCAGCTCACTTCCCCTCCCGCCTAGCGTTCTTACAGATCAGGAGATGTCGCAGGCTGGTCTGGATTTCTGGATTCTCTCGAGAAGTTCCAAGAGGTGGCTGAGAGCTCTGGCTGGGCTCCCGTTGCCACCTGGCAGCGATGGGTCTCCTGCTGGGAAGGGTCACATGTTGGTCCCTGCCTGCCCTGGAGAGCCCTGGGGCTACCTCCCTGTGCTCTAGGGTGGTTCTTTCTGGGTGTCCTTGAGCCGATACTGGTTGACATTCCCCAGAGTGTACACTCCAGAATTTGGCCTTAGCAAAGGAGATACGTCAGCCAGCAGAGTGTGTGCCCAGGGGCCCTCTCATCTGGCTCATAGCCAGGTGCAGGCCACGGCAGACCCAGCACCAGGTAAACCCATGCAGCCCAGTGGGGGCCGGCAGGTGGCCAGTCTGCGCGCGCACAGGTGGTTTACCTCCACCCAGCAGGGGAGGCGCTAGGGCTGGAGAGCCGGTCAAGGCCCCCCAAGGAGAGCCTGGTTAGGAGCGGCCTTCAGCGGGAGGCACGTCTTTTAGGTGGAGGATGAGTCTGAGGGCTGTTCCTGGCAGAGACAGGGCAGCGTGAGTTCCACGGGTTTATCAAGGAGCCCCGGGCCCGGCCAGCTCCGCGCCAGGCGCTGGAGACCGCGGTGGCTCCGACACCGGCTCTTCTGGGCCCCCAAGCGCAGGGCGCAGAGGACGGATGGGCAGACTCAGGCCTTTGCCCGCCGTGACCAGCAAGACGGTGCGCGGTCGCCGTTCCAGGGCGCTGGCGACGAGGTGCCTGGTGTCACGCAGCTTCTGTTATTTTAGCCGGGGAGAAAGGTGAGGTCAGCGGAGCGAGGAAAGGGTTTGAGGGGGGCTCAGTGCGAGGGAGAGAACACGGCTGAGTGGGACACACAGGACCGGGCCGGGCTCGCTGCGGAGCCGGCGCGGGTCAGGCGGCCTCCGACGGCAGCCGCCTCGGGGTTCTGAGGACACGGCAGTGGGCAGTGGGGCGCGCCCGCCTCGCAGGGGTCCCCCGCAGCCCCGCCAGCTTCTGCACGCGCGGCCGCACCCCCGGAGCATGCCGCTGCCCAGACGCACGCGCCGCGCCCCATCGCCTGGGACACTAACTGTGTGTGTTTTCTCCCCCGCGCCCACTTCACGCGCGGCCACGCCCTGCCCTCCCGCGCCCGCCCCACGCGCCACCCCCAAGGAGTGCCCCGCGCATCGGGCCTCCGAAGGCGCTTTCCCGGAGCCGCAGCCCCCGCGCAGGAAGAGGCTTTTCAGTATCCCCGAAGTCGCGGAGGAGGAGGCCGCGTGCTGCGAGCTGCTGCAC